CTTTCAGCCCTCATATTTATTTCATACATTAAAGCAGGAAAAGAAGCTTTCCTGTTTCTTCATTCAGATTTCCTTTTCTAATTTTGTTGCATAAATTATCATAAAATTATTATGTCTGTATCTGTGAAAAAGGTAAGTTCCATCTGTATAACACCAGTCATTTCTGTAAGTTCAGGAGTTTGACTTTCTTTAGAACTTGGCAGCACATATGTAGTTACTGGATTTGTTTCATAACTAAATAAAGTCCAGAAGGAGGGCTTTCATTTTTTTTTAATTCTGAAAAATCATAAGTATTTTTGTTATGCATATGCTTACATGGAGTAAACGTGCTTATTGGAATAAAATAAAATAGATTAAAAAAAAAGGAAAAAAAAAAGAAAAAAAAAAAAGAAAATGGGCATTGGTTGTCCTGGGGCAAAAGGCTTCAAAGGCTTGTTGATTTAGTCCTTACACCGCATCACTTAAATGAGATACAACTCATGGAATATGGGATGGTGACTTAAAAGACTCATTAATAGACGTATGCATCTTTTTTAGAAAAATAACAGTCTCAAGCAGTACAGGGCTCTTTGATTTTTAAGGTTTGTGAGATATCAGGCCTTAAATTTTACTCTTGCATGGGAATCATCAGCCACTACAATCAGATATTAATAAAACTGTACTTGATTTTTTGGAGAGAGTTCCAGGAGAAATATCTGATTATTTCAAAAAACAAAAAAATCAGGCAGTTAAGGTAGTTTTACAGTTTTAGCTCTATTAATTCTTTCATTTTTGTGTACATATTTTTCTTTATTAAGGAAAAAACTTTAATTATAATAATAATCTGTTTAATTTTTCTCTGCAAGTACAGAATGCTAAGTACAGAAGACTAAAATCCCATTTTGATCAAGAAATAATGAATAATTTACATTAACAGGACATGATAGAAGTTAACTATTCTTAAAGCTAACGTAGCTGAAGTGCTCTGCTGAAAGAGCAGTATTAAATCCATCTTTTAAGTAATGTTTTTTTTTTTTCTGGAACCAAAATGGTATACTGATATCCACATTATGAAGTAATACTGGGAATAGAGTTGGAAGACAGGACTTAATGTGGTCCTTCGGCCCACTATTATATATTGATTGCTTTAGTAACGTAGACACTRTTATTAGGAACGTCAAGACCTTTGGATCCTCATCCTGTGATTCCAACAGAGGACTCCTTAAAACAAATTCATCACAGCAAAACATTTTTCTTGTGTCTCTGAAGATCTCTAGAGGTCCCTTCCAACCTCAACCATTCTGCGATTCTGTGAAATCCTTTACTGCTATCTTAAATAACATCCTAATCATCAGATGTGGAGATGCAAATGCTAAGTAACTTGTTGACTAAGGGAAAAGAAGCTGCACTTTCGTGCCAGTAAGCAGATGTGCTTAAAAGACTGTCTYGTAAGTGCTGATTTAGAAACAGCTGTTGATGCTACCATAGTCTTTCATATAGTTCATTTCCCTCTGCTTCTTTTGCTTTCCACACACTTGCTCTGTGTAGTTAAGTTGGGCTCGATAGATGGTGTAGAGGAGAGAGAGTTTTCATAATAATAAGCAATCAAGCTCTTGGAGTTGAGAGTGAACACTCTCAACTTGTGCTGAGCTAACTTAGACTTGAACAGCATAAAAAGTTCAGAACACCTACAATATTATTTTTCTTACAGAAAATCTTCAAACTGCTTTTAAAGGATGTAGCTTTTGCAAAAGTTGAAAATAGACTAATTTTTTCTTACTGAGGAAAAAATTTTTTTCACTTCAGTCAGGATCTTTCTTCTCTTTCTTTTTCTTTAGCTTTCTTTTCCTTTTTTTGTTTTTCTTTTGCTCTTTCACAGTCTTTTGCATGTTTGTTCATTCTCCCTTTTTGCTCTTTGACTTTCAGTCTTGCCTTGAGTCTCTTGTTCTCTCTTGCTCTTTCATTCTTTCTTGTTTATTCTTACTCTTTGTCTCTTCCTTTCTCAATATATTCTGCACGTTTTGTGATATACCTGTAATGCTTTCAAGTAAGTTGCTCATATGGAAAGCAGTTTTCCATGAATCAGTGTAAATTGTTGCTCTGAAGCASTTCATACATCATGTTTCACTTCCTTCCCATTACTAAAGTATTGATGGATCACATGTCAGTAACTACTACCACTTCCCCTTATTGACTCTTCAACTGCAGAGGAAGTTCAGATTTCAGATATCTAAATTTGATCTCTGGAGGAAATAACAAGTGACGGACCTTTCTTATGTTATTAGTATATAAGCTTTAAAGACTTCATCCAGAATCAATTGAAACTGGTGGAAAAACTCATAGTGACATTGGTATAGTTTGGATCAGGCCAAAAGAGGATTTCAATACTTTGTAACTGAGGATATAATAAATAAATAAATAAATAAATAAAACTCTAGTGTATCATATGACAGTGCATTAATGCATCAAATGATATCAAAACAAACTCATAATATTTTAGATAATAAACTTCACTTTCAAGCTTTTGGGTATCATCTTTTGTATACCAAATAAAGAAATTTCCCATTTTATATTTTTGAGTCAATCAGATGCAAATTATTTGAAGACATTACTTAATCTGTAAAAATATATTTTCCCCCCCACGCACACATCCTTCTTTTTAAAATAAAAGCCTCTCTCCTTACTGGCAGCCTGATGGGCTACGTGCGAGCCCRTGGAAGAGATTAGTGTGTATTCTCCTTTGGGAGCAGCAGGGTTCCTCTCTTCACACCACCTTCCAGAGAGCCTGTGCAAAGATACTGGGCATGCATTTAGCCGTGCTTTCCCTGAAGGCTGCGTTTCTTGAACTTGTGAGCAGACGTAGTAGTGCTTGCTGGATCCAGAGAAGGGTTTAGAAAACAGGCTTGCTCCTCTTGCAAAGGGGAGTCACCTCCCTGCACTTGATTTCTTGTGGCTGATACAGGCTTACAGCTGTCCCTGGGGCAGGTGTTTCAGGGCATCGTTGGGTGAGCTGGTGCCAAGGCCGCTCATGTGAATTCAAATGCAATCAGGTTAGTTAGGCCAGCAGATCTAAGGGTTTGGCTCTGTCCCTGAGAGTGCTTGCAGGAGTATTGCGTTTGGTTTCTGAAGCCAACAAAGAGGAAATCAATKTATTTGGATGCCAGTAAGCTGGTTGAATCCAGGTCATGCATGGAAATTTTGCCTCAAATATAACACCGTCGTTTTTCTTGAAACACTTTTTGCATACTTTATTATTTTGTTTTAGGCTTTCCATGTTACTACTTATTCCATGAGTGTTCATGGACATGAAAAGGCACTGAAAGCTGCTCAGATCTTTTAAGTATCTCTCCAACTCTCTCCTCTCTTGTGAATGGAATAAAATTCTCATTTCAGGGAAAAAAAAAAGAGAGAGAGAGAGAGAGACAGAGAGACAGAGAGACAGAGAGAGACCCTCAGGTGTTTGGTAGTATCCAGAGTTGAATCCAGACTCTGGGGTTTTTTTGATCTTTAGATTAAGACTACAGTACCATTTGTTCTTTTATTACACTGTTTGGCACTTCTATAGGAGTGTCTTTTATAAAAGAAACTTCATTGTCTTAAAAAACAAAAATAAAGTGACGTCTGTAACTTCTCCCAGAGTGCTGCCAGTGCTATCCTAATGCTGTGCCCTTTTGGAGGCACTATTTCTGATATATGACCTAAATATGATAATACCCAACATCACAACAGCCAGTAATAAATACCTTCCCCTTTACACTCATTTCACTTTGCAAACCAGATTCTTTGGCTCTGATTGGGAGGTGAGAGGAAAGGATRTGCTGTGCTTTGAGGCGCCTAGCTAACCTGGAATCGTTTTGCTCTTTTCCCAAGTGGTTGGCTACAACAGCTCACATTGGCTTCAACAGGAACATGGTGAATTAAAAAAATAAATATACCTCTCTTCTTTCCCACATACATACGTGCTAATTGTGATGGTAACTGTCATTTTAGTTGTAGTAAAGTCTCTCTGTAAAACTCAGAGTTATAGTAAAGGTTAAACACTGCAGTATTTCCTGGATGTATAAGACAGATTTAGCAAAACAGCATTTTTGTGGCTCTGTTACTCATGTTGTACAATGTGTCCTGCTGTGACTGTTCCTTGCTGATTCTTTTAAAACTCTGCAACACATTCTGCTAAACACAGCAGAGGATACACCGACATTGCAAACTTTCTGTCTTTGTTTCCAAGAGAAAAAATTGCAGCTATTGTTTATTTTTTCTGTAGAACTTTCATGTTTAGAGATTCACTAGGGCAAATACAAAAGACTTTTTAACACATTTAACTCTCAATGGATCAAAAATAGCAATATTTTCATTCATACATCCTGCTTTCACTGACAGTATTTTAAATTGATTTGTAATCAGGTAATTATTTGTCAGAAAGCATGCCCAGGACCTATGGCTAAATAGAATAGAATCTAGGATCTGGAATAGGGTCAATCAACTATCATATTTTAAATATTTTTGCAAAATAGACAGGGAAGTTTTGATTGTGAGAAATCCTCTTTCTGATGCTTTATCAAGTGAAAAAAAGGAGCTTTTAAGCTGCTTCTCTTGAATCTCACCTGTTTAGAGAAACAAAAGGCAATGCAAACTTTTAAGCAGAAAGATACTTTCCAAAGTAATTGGCGTCCTCTGAAATGTGTAAGAAAGGGGAKCAACAACAGTGTGGGTCTAGGTCAGCGCACTGGGCTCTGTACTACCCCAAAGGTAGGTGCTTGTCTGCTACAATTTTGCTTCCGCTTCTATAGCTGTGAAGGGATGTTCATATGTTTTTCAGGATACCTCAGCAGGTATCCTGAAAGATTTGCCTGCTCTTCAGGGAAGCCCTGCTGCACTTTTTTCCAAATGGATGGAAATGCAACATGCTAGGCAAAAAAAAAAAAAAAAAAAAAACTACTGCTGCAAGGATCACTATTGACCTCTAATGATACCATCTTCATTTTTTTTTGTTGTTGTTGTTTTGTCTCTCTTTAACGAAGGTCAAAGTTTGGTTCCAGAACAGACGGATGAAGTGGAAGCGGGTAAAAGGGGGCCAGCAAGGGGCGGCAGCCCGGGAGAAGGAACTGGTGAACGTGAAAAAGGGCACGCTGCTCCCCTCCGAGCTCTCCGGCATCGGGGCCGCCGGGCTGCRGCACACGGGGGACTCACTAGCCAACGACGACAGCCACGACAGTGACCACAGCTCTGAGCATGCACACTTATGATACACAGCGAGTGTCCCAGCTCCGTTCTCAGGAAAGATGCTTTGCTGGCAAGCCTTACACGGGCATCGTTTACGTATGCAAGTGACTCTGGCAGTGATTTTAAAAGTTGTTACGGAAAATTCAGGCTTATTGTGTCTGCTTTCAAGATTTTTTAGATGGTTTACAGTAAGTGCCATGTCTTAAAGGTGCCTCAAGAGTGGAGAAGTGGAAGATGAACTTCCTTTGAACATTCCAGATTTGTTTGTCATGGTTATGACAGCGGGCAGGTATTTTTGCTTTAGCTTGCACTGAAAATTACATTGCTCTCAACAGATGTTATATTCTGAAAACCACAGTGCCACAAAATCACTATCTAGTGGATAAGAAATGTATTTTTACTCTGTATATATTTACGTTACAGCATTTTCCTGTCTTCACTAATTTTAGCAATGCATTCATATTAGCGATGGCAATAGTCACTCATGACAGTAAATGGCTTTCTGTCTCTCTATTTTTGTTTTGTTTCTCCAAAGACATACAATACATCCAGATACTTTTGTTCAAGTAGTGAACAATAAAATAGTATCTGCTAGGACACGTCCTTGTRTGACAGACAAAACAAAAGTTATGTTGCATTTACTATCAACTGCTGCTAATAGGGTATTATTAAACTTAACTAGCTCCTCAATTCTTCTTATCTTATAACTGCAAGAATGATTTTTAGGATCATAAGGATAGCCCAGTAACCTGCCAGAAAGAATTTCATGTTCTGCCCATGCTCAGTGGAAACTCCCCAAAGAATTACTCATTCCTCCTTTGTCATTTTTGAGTACGTTGTTAAGAACTGACACTGCAGAAATGTTGTCTCTTCATCTTCAGTTTTAGAACCAGCAGATAACCTGAAAGTTTTTATCAATAAACTGTTTATGTTGGCAGAAATCAGAAGATGAAGGTATTGTGTCCCAAATGTAAAATCAAGACACATTTTCTGTTATAAGCTTTTGTGTACATACAGGCAAATAGCAAAACCCAAAATTTAATGCAAACCATTGATTGTACTTTGTAAAGAAAAATGTTTAATAAATAATCCTTTTTAAATAATTCTGGTCTCTTTACAGTGATTTCATAGGAAAATCAAAGTGTTTTTTGTAAAAGTTCTAAGCAGCTTTGCCTTCTTTGGGTTTTTTTGGAACTTCATCTGTCTCTGAACAATACAAAGCTATGTTTCAAATTCAGACTTTTAATCTTGGATGAACCTTCCACCTTGATCCATTTGGGAAAGTCTTTCCTTTAGCAGGAAGAAAGCATCAGGCAGCTAATGATATCTTCAGCCAAAAACAACAAGAGTCTGTTGAACCATTTTTCCAGACCAAGAACAAATATCAAGGGGTATTTTGTTTTGCCTTGTAGAAATGGATTAAAAGGAATAAATATGAGGAAAGTGATGCATGCTTTTATTATCTTGCCTTGGTTCAATAAAATTGGTTAGGAGAAAAAATAATTCTGACCAAACTTGGGAGATTATAACAATTAATTGAATYGTGTAGAGTGATAGAGGAGCAAAGCGAAAGAGTGAGAGGAAATGTGAATATCATAGTAAATGTGAGCATTCATTTAAGGTCTGTTAAGCAGTGGAATATCCTTATTGTTAAATTGTTAAATGCGTTCAAGACCTCTGGGTCTTATATCCTACTTTGCACTGTAAGTCTGTTTTTTTTTCTGGCACATTTATTGTTTGGCACATAATTTAATTGGGATACTTCTAGTGTTAGGGACTATCCAGTATGAGGAATGATGACAAACTTTGAACCATAATAATCTCCCTCAATCTGTTGAGATGAAGAGTGAAGGTAGAAGGGAGAGAAACATGCAAATGGACTTATAGCACCAGGAGTGTTAATGAACAAATTATGTAATTATGATCAAATTTTGTAACTTTATATTACAGAAAAAAAGACAACATAACTGATTTGAAAGCAGCTCAGACTTTGGATTTAGCTGTAAGGGGTAAAGTAGATGTAGTAACCTCTCAGGTTACTTAAAGACTYCTGATGGCTTTAAGCACAGTGCAATATGATGCAGAGATTGCTCACCAGCAAGTGAAAGCAGGGTGAACTTCCTATCATGGTGCTGAAGGACTATATTTACAGGCACAGCACCACAAGATACAGATCTGCTTCTTTCAGGCTTCAGCTGATTCATATTCTGGTCCCAGCAGTGACTTTTGTGCACATGAATTGTGGTTTGAGGGTTGGTAGACTTGGTGAGTTTGGGACTTACCAGAGTACATGATTTTCAGTCCTGTTCTCAGTGTCCGTATTACTCAAGTGTTAACTTACAGAAGCTGCTGGGGTTAGTCACACATTACGACTACACGCTAAAATTGTAGCGTAACTGCCTTGCTGAAATGAGCTATGGGTAAAAGCTTTTGAACTTTTTGTTTTACATCCATTGGCTTTTATCTTCAGTCTTCAGAGGTTTTCTCAACCAATGTAAACTTGAAGGATGGCTAAGTATGATCATCAAGCTCTAAGACTGTTATTTGCCCAAGGATGTGCAAACACTCAGTGGTAGAAAAAAGCATGATGAATCATATCTTTGTTTATTTTTGTTGGGTCCAGTTATTAAGTATTACGTAATGATTTTCATATCTTAGCATTGATGAATCCTGCTTTTGAGGACTAGCATCATATTTTTGGAGCTGTTGTTTGTCTAGAGTCCATCTTTGATACTCTGTAGTTAACATATCACTAAGAAGAAGAAATGTGGAATCTGAAAAAAGTACACTGAAAATCTCATCTACTGTAAAAAGGAGGGATACTGAACAGTTTAACGTTTGACATGATGGATGATGTAAATTCTTTTTTTTCTGCTGTCTCTAGTAAATAATGCTATATATTATTTGCAGGGTTCCTTTCTCTTCTGCTTATAGTTACTGACTTTATTTTTTGTATTTATGTTTCTATGGATCCGTGTTACTGTTTTCAGATTTTTTTGGGCAATGGCAATGCAACAAGTGTGGTTAAAATAGTCGTAGAATCACAGAATCGTTCAGGTTGGAAGGGACCTCTAGAGATCATATGGTCCAACCACCCCTGCACAAGCAGGGTCATCTAGAGCATGTGGCACAGGATTGTGTCCAAGCAGGTCTTGAATATCTCTAGAGAGGGAGATTCCACAACCTCTCTTGGCAACCTCTTCCAGTGCTCTGTTCTAGTGTCACTCTCACTGTTAAGAAAATTTTCCTTAAGTTCCTGTGGAACTTTCGATGCTTCAACCCCCTCGCTCTCTCACTTAACATATTTATATACACTGATCAGATCCCCTCTCAGCCTTCTCTTCCCCCGTTAGAAGCTGGCTGAAGTTATTTAATCATAGATCAGAAGTAGTATGGGAATTTCATTAAATGCATTTCTTTTCTTCTTAATTGTCCGTTTCATCTGTGAAAACACTTTCACCCGAAAGGAAAGGAAAGGAAAGGAAAGGAAAGGAAAGGAAAGGAAAGGAAAGGAAAGGAAAGGAAAGGAAAGGAAAGGAAAGGAAAAAGAAAAAAGTCCTGAAAAGGACTTCTCTTCAGATACTCCGTGACTCCTCATCTACGTATTTCTATAGGCCAAACCTATAATAAATACAAGTGGTTTATCTTACTTTCCTAAATGAAGACACTGACTGCTGCAATAATATTATTTGTTCAAATAAAGAACAAAATGCGTTAGGACGTGCACTCTGAATAGTTATGAGGAAACACAGCTATATAAGTTAGGGACACAATGTCAGCTTGAGCCTTCGTTTAGAATTTCCTGGCTTCAGTCAGTTTACGTCTCTTGGGTGAACTTGTATTTAATAGAGTACATGCAGTATTTAAGATCGGATACAAGATTCAAGAAGTTTTAAAGGGTAATGTTTAACCAATTATGTCCTGTAATTTAATATCATTATGTAATGTGTGTGGACTGAAAGGAGGAATTCTGTGCACAACTTGATGCCTATATTCATTTTAAAAGGCAGTGTACCTAATATGCTGCAATAACTTCAGGGATGGGCTTCAGGGCTTCAGTGATGATATATATTCCCAGCTCAGATTAATAAGGACTTAATAGAGTTCACTTGCCTCTCTTATTTTTAAAATTTCCGTTCATTTTCATTTAAAGCGATGGACTTTTGAAATCATTTACAGTTTAGAGCTTCAGCATAGGAATGGATTTCTATGTAATTCAAGGCTTCTGGCTGTTATGGGGAGCCTCTGTATGGCATGATCAAAGGTTATCACAGTCATCTGTGACATAAATTGCAATTATTCCAACAGTTTCTCTGAGTCCACAGACCAGAGACCAAGTCATGCATTCATTAGCCATTATCCTTTTTCTTGTCATATGTCCTGTCATGATCTCTGTCTATGGAAATTTGTAAAATTTTATTTTCATTCCATTACAAATAATCATCTGGACTRTAATCTTGTTTAGTATCCACAAATGGAGATCTTGAGGAATTATATACATAAAAAATTGTCAAATAGTAGTCACAAAAGGAAATAATAATAGTTTCTTTTTGTGCAGAGCTTTTCTGTAGACAGACTCTGAAGTGTTTTTAAAGAAAGTTTTTTGAAGTTTTTAAAGAAATTCCAAAACCCCTTTTTAACAGATAAAAGACTAGGGACTCCAGGAATTTGTACTGGTCACCTTGAATCATAGACAGAGCAAGCCTTTTGGAGTTAGGTTAAGTATCCTACTAAATGTGCTGCCAAGACTTAGTTCTGCCTTGCATTCTTTATCTTACTTGGTCCTTGAATAAATCCTTACTTGCACCTTGCATTTCAGCAGCGAAAACCTCAACCAGCCCTCAGGACCTTGAGTCCTCAGGACCTCTAATAAATGATTCCTGAAAGCAAAGCAAAGCAATAAAGCAAAGCAATGGCTACTAAAAGTACCCATGAAAGACATAGTTGAGATGAGAATTATTGTTCTGTGAGAATATGATCTACTACATTAAAGAGGAGAAATGGCATGAGTCTTATTCAGATGACTAAGTGATTGGAATAAAGCATTCTGCCACATCTGTCTTTTTCTATAAATGCTTTTCTGCTTTTGTAGAGCAGTGTGTTTGTTTTAATACAATAGGTTAAATATTTGAGTTTAAAATATTCAGTTGTGATGTCTAAGTTCCTTTCTCCCAATGTTTGCATTTTATTTGTAAAATTGAAAAATTGAACTTGCTTGGCCAAAAACCTTGTAAAAAGTTATTCTGCATTCATAAGCAATAAATCTGAAGCAGTTTAGTTTCAGACTCACTCGTGCTTGAAGTAAACGGCAGAGTAAATGATTTCTGTAGGATTTTGCGTGTCTTCTAACCACATGATACTATTCAAGTTTTTGTGCTATAAAAATCCGCTGGTTTGCTTTGTATAGATATATACATACACACATTGCACACATAAACGTATTTATATAAAAATAAAACCTATACTTAGTATTTAGGGACATAGTCTCATCTTTAGCATCACCAGACAGTGTATATGCTACTCATGTTTGCTTATGGACTGATAAACTGCAGGGTTTTTAGAAATATTCTGAACAGTTACCACATTCTTTGCCATGAAAGTCACATGCACAGCTGAGAAAATACTCAAGTTTGGGCAAAAGCCCAAATTTAAAATTTATCTTTAAAACTGCCCTTAGAAAAATTTTATGCAACCACAGCAGAAATTTATTTCAGAGTATAAAAACTATGCAGGAGAAAAACTAGTATAGAATTAAGACCAACTATAAATAGTTTTGTATATGTATTCCTATCATTCCTCTATATATAC